TTCGTATAGTTCTGTACAGAAGCTTTTTAAAAAGGGTTCTGTAGAGCACCAAAGGGAAAAAAGCTCAGAGCAAAATTCATAATTAGAGGCTGGTGTGAAGCAGGGCTGGGCAATATGATGATATTTATCACCACTGAGATAAATTACACCACAATACGCATTTCTGAACATATCGTGGACATCGTCAGTACTTCTAGAACACTGAATGCATGCATGTTTCATCACATGGGGAGCATTAACAGTCCTGTTTAATGATTTTGTGCAGCACAGTGAATAAAGTGTTTAATGAAAATTATTAGCACTCATAGTTTCTGATACTCTTTTTTAATGGTGGCACCACTCGTTATTTTTTAATGTCTGTTATGTCAGAAAAATATGAAATATATTATTGGAAATGGTTCTCTGTGTAAAGCTATGTTTATCTATAAAAAGGGTCCTTCTGTTGTTACAAGTTTGACATTGTAACTACGGCAGAGCCCTTTTTGGTACTATATAGAACCATATTCAACACATTCTCCATTAATGTGAAGAACCATTTCACCAGGCAACAAACTGTTTAAGTATGAAATGGTTTATTGGATGTAGCGCAGCACAGTGTGTGAAATATTAAACATAAATCATTATTTTCATAGTTTTTTATATAGCATTTAAATGTGGTACTACTTTGTCTTTTCCTATTTATCAGATGTTAGAGAGAAATACTGTGACATATCGTGATATATCGTAATATTTCCATATCGCCCAGCTCTAGTTTAACCCCTAGCTAGGCGGCCCTTTGAAAAGTCAGCTTGCTGGACAACACTAGCACAACTAGCTCTGCTCAGTGGGTGGTAAGGCTTGCCCTGTTTTCCTCTCCTTCTGTTGTACAGTGTGATGCTAGTCAACGCTAGATAATTCGAGCAGGATCTCATATATACAGAACTGGTTAGCATTCTCCTCCAAGCGCAACGTTAGCGGCAGCATCAGAGAAAACACATTAGCCCGCATCATCCCAGTTTGCTCTGGACAAACTGGGGAAACCTAGCTAACTGGTGAGAATTAGTAATGACTAAATAAATGCCAAAGTTAGAATCTTAAAGTTAGTCTTGATTCTCAGACTAAAAGCCAAATTCTGGCCAAATAAGGCGTTAAAATTAAATGCTTGACCCCTTGAACTGCCTGTTGACAGGTCTACACTTCTGTTCCTCACTCTAATACATTAAACATAACTTAGCAAGTCTGCATTGCTTTCCATGTAACTACTAACTAATAAATGATGCTGCTTAGTGCCCACATTTATGTCCTGTGTGATAAAATGAAGTTTAAGATCTCTACATTGGAAACAGAAGCCAGACAAAGGCAGCAGAAGGAATACAGAACATTAGCATGTGCATATCAGGCTCTGTCCCACATAGCAAAAACTGTCACATCCTTGTGTTTGTTCTGGCCCAGTATGCGGCTGGGTCCTCAGCCCAGATCTGGCCCACACACTGTAAAGTAAGCAGAACTATTGGATGTGGCCCAAATCTGGCCCAACTACATCGTCAGCCCACAGCATTCACGCCAGCATTGGTCCACAAATATAGACACGAGGCAAAACCACAGGAAGCTGCCCAGGATGTGGCCGTATTCTGGCCTGCATGCCACACATCTGCCTGGTAGTCAACCAACACTCGCATATGAAAGCCAGAATTGGCCCAGAACTGTCTGCTATCTGGGCTGTTACGTTAGCAGCATGTGCTTCTTATAATAACAGTCTGCAAGATTGGCAAGCCATATATGAGTGAGGGCTATTCAGTGGAGGCAACTGCAGAGCGCAGGTGCAGCTCAAGGTCAAGGTTTCTGATTTTCCACTAAAGGTCCATTAATGACTATCCAAAGTTAATAAATACATTAAATACATAAAATAATGTCAGGAAACTTTGGGCTTTACATCTTCACACGCTTCCATTCCGCCATATATGTTACTGAAAATGTTTTTATTGCACTTTTTAAGCCTGGTCAGCTACAATTCAGTACCTGTTTTTAAATCATATTTGAAGTTCACATTCTGCCATCTTGGAATCATCTTTATGCACTATAAAGTGCTTTTTTGTACATTTTTTTCATGTTCTATTCGCCATAAGAAATATATTTGGCCCAAACCACAGCCCCGTCATGGGCTGGAGGTTAGGGAACCGCCCTGTAACCGGAGGGTCGCCGGTTCAATCCCCTGAGCCGACAGCATGTGACTGAAGTGCCCTTAAGCAAGACACCTAACCCCCAACTGCTCCATGGGCTCACTGCCCCCTAGTGTGTATGTGGTGTTTCACTGCACGGATGGGTTAAATGCGGAGGTGAAATTTCCCCATTGTGGGACTAATAAGGGTCAATTAATCAAAAAAACCCTGTTACAAAATGTGCTTCTGCACTTTGCATGCAATTACGCATATCCACCAGAGGGGTCTCCAAATCCCCAAAACTTACACAGTGTAGCTTTAAATGCAACTTAAATCTGTTTTCAAGAAAATTTTGCCCTTAATTCCTTATAGTTTGCAGAAAGTCCCAACTATTTAAGTTACACCACTGAATCTCTGAAGCCTGAGGGTTGTGTTCTTCTGTTACATGACTCAGTTAGATGAGCTGCCACAGGCTGCACACAGCACAGCTGGTTTTCAAACCCAGTCTGAAGGCACCGCAGCACTGCTTTAGTTGGAGATGCTTATTAAAGCCCAGGATAAGTGGTCTAGAACTGCACATGCTGCCCTTGTCTTGTTTGTAAGCTACACCAACTAAAGCAAGCTGGTTTCATCTATTCAGAGGCAGCTCTGAATCATCAGTAAACGCTTTGTTACTTTAATAAAATAATTAGAAGAAAAGTCTGAGTTGCAAGGCTTCGTCTATAGTGCAGTCGAACACATTCAGCACATATAAGCATAGCAACTAAAGTAGGTTAGACTTTGTTCTTTGCTTTTTTGATTGTTTTAATCTAAAATAAAAAGCTGAAGCTCCACAGTGAGTAAAGCGACCAACAGTAAGTCAGTAAGGAGCTGTACCAGCACAACAGATTGGTACAAAACCCCAAAACTGCAATGTATAGCAAGAGAAAGTACATCATTTCCTCAAAAATATGGTGTAGAGGCAAAACTAATATCATTTATAAATGTTCAGGAGCGTACAAATCCAGAAAACTCAGTACTGAAGACATGCAACTGAATAAACGGACCTAGTTTCTACCCACATTTGCACCCACAGTGTCATTACAGCTATTCAGCTCACCAAAGAAACCAGAAGAGGCAGAAGAGGTCCTGCCTGCAGCTCAGACCACAACACCTCCACTGTGGTCCCTTTATTATTGATATCATTCTCAGGAATGACCAACCACACAGCATGACTGCCACTTAACCCCAGTTACATTAGCAGAGCACCACAGAGTTGCTTACAGGGGGCAAAAAGGCTGTACAGCTTATTAATTCTTTATTGCAGTATTGGCCTTTGAGAAACTGATATCACAGAAGGCTTTGATATGCAAATGAGCTCTCTAGCCAATCAGTGCTTTTGTAATGTGGCCTTTTTGATCAGATACAGGCAGAACAGTTTCTGCATAACTCAATAGGTAAACAGAGTTGTTCAGAGTGGTTTGGTGTTAAACGCTCTGTTCTAAAGTTAGAACTGTTCACAGTGGTGGTGATAGGAACCAGACGTCCACCTCTAAAACCTCCCTCACAGAAAGTTCCTACATGAATTGGTTATGAATCTGCTGCCTGATGTCTTGTCTTAAAACAGTTTGCGAAGGTTTTGGCTTTAAACGTGTGTTTTTTAATCTATTTATGGCGGAGGGATATATGCAAGACAAAATAGTCCCCAAAGAAAACATATTTTTCCATATTTTCCACTATTTTCCTATCATCAACATTCCATATAAAGCTCGGAAGACTCGTGTAGGTTCACTGGTGGTTCTGGATAGTAAAGAAAATATCTATATTTGTGCTGTAGTCATGGCGACCCCTGGTTCCTATCACCACCACTGTAAAGAAATCTGCCACAGTGAGTGCTGATTTAGGCGTGCACAGTGATAACTGGGGGGCTATAAGCTTCCATTACTTGTTATCTACATTAGCCTCGTAGCTCCCATACAAAACTAAAGAAGCAAAACTCAGAAGCCGATCGTGTCTTAGTTGATGGACTATATTTGGGGAAGGAGTATAACTGCGCAAATATATATTTCACCAAACTATCACTTCAAAAGCTTTCAACTAGGGCTGGGCGATACCACAATAATACTGTTATCGTGATAATTGCTGTTACAATATAATATGCTTTTCTGAACAAATGGTTATAGCCGACATTCTGAAAAACGTCTCACGTTTTAACCTAATAACGCTTGTTAACTGCCTGTAGATGAGACCAATCCGAGGCAACCAAACCTCCATGTGTTGTGACATCACAACCACAACTTACTGGCAGTTTGGCACACTACATCCAGGGGTCAAGCTTAATGCCAGAAAAGGTGGATATTTTGGTTTTCATGGCCCAAAAAAACAGGCCTGAATTTTAACTCGCAATTTAAATTGCAATTGCAATATTACTCAGATAAATCGCAATCAGATATTTTCTCCTGATTGTTCAGCCCCACTATAAAGAGTGAAAAATTAGTCCCATCTAACTAGATTTAGTGCCAAATACTGAATGAAAATTAGAGCTGAACAATTTGGGAAAAATATCTAATCGCAATTTTTCTGACTAATATTGCGAGTGTGATTTCAGTTGCAATTATTTTCTGTAATTTAAGGTTCAGGCCAGTTTTTCTGGCCAATAAGACCAGAATATCCACTTAACCCTACAACAAAGAACGCAAAATTAGTCCCAATTAACCCAATTTAGTGCCAAATATTGAATAAAAATCATTGATAATATTTTTCAAAATGTAGCACTCAAATTTTATATCGTGTATCATGAAAATTTCTCAAAGAATCACAATAACATATTTTTGCTATATCGCCCACCTCCATGTTCACCTCCCCAAAAACCCAAAACTTCACCTGCAATTCACACCACGCCACCTCCACGGTGGTCTCCGTGTCCAGCCCTTTGTAGACCGTCTTGAAGGACCCTCTCCCTATCTCCACGTTGAACTTGAGGTACCGTCCATCAGGCGAGGTGGCCACAGCTTTGGTCTCCACGTCCTCCTTCTCATCCTGCTCCCACTTGCTCTGCAGCCGGGGGACGGCCTTCGCCGGCTTGACCACTTCGGGGTCCGAGTCGGAGCTGGGTTCCTGGCCTGAGACCCTCCACGTCTCTGAGGTTTCTGAAGGGGAAGAACAGGTCTGCGGGGTAGGAGTCTCCGGGCTGGAGACCAGAGGAGAGTCCACCTTCCCTTCCTCTGACCTTCCCTCGGACAAGATGTTCTCAGCAGACCACGACAGCGCCTTGGACAGCGTGCCACTGTAAAACTGAGGCTCAATGTCCATGCTGAGCTTGTGGAGCACGTAGGAGTTTCTCCTGATGGACCTTCTTTCCACACATTCAGGGTCTATATCAACAGGTAGACTCTGGAAGCCGAGTCCAGGCAGCTCCACCTGGGCATGAGACATGCTGAGAAGAAGGTCGAGGAGTTAAACTGCAGGTGAATGTAAACCTAGTGTTCTGCTACAGGTCATACAGGTCGTTAACTGCTGGTTCAGGAGCTTGAGATGGAGATGTTCTCGTGTGGAACATCTTCTTCTTCTTCTTCTTCTTCTAGCTTTGCCTTCTGGAGACCAAAGCTGAGGTGAAAAAATACAACATGAACAAGAAGACTGAGTTTTGACCTTCAGGAATGTCTTCGAAGACTGAATTTGAAGGAAAATTTGAGTCTTCATAAGAATTGTCCGTTCCACCTTAAATGGTGCAGCAGTTACATTCTGGCGCATGAGACGCCAGAATGTAACTGCTGCACCATTTAAGGTGGAACGGAAAATTCGAAAAACTAAGCTGGCAAAACAGACAACTAACTTTAGTCTCGTTTTAAGCATCATGCACAAAACCTCTTACCTTATATATCCGACCAGCAAGAGGTCAGAAAAAGCGTTTTTTCCGCACTTTTATCCGCACTTCGACTTCTCTCCGCGCGCTGCTGTGATGAGGACCGTCCTTCTGCTGCCTCGAGCACACGCAGCACGCGAGGAGCTCGAGACTCCTCCCCCACCTGAAGAGCTCAGGAGAAGATCGATTCAGCTCACCGACTCGTTCAAACGAATCGGCTCCGTCTCAGAGAAGCTGTAAGTCCTTGAAGGGGAACTCCACCGATGTTTCAAAATTCTGGCATTGGTTGATTGTAGAGGCAGTGGTGGTGATAGGAACCAGGGGTCACCATGACTGTAACACAAATATAGCCATTTTATTTACTATCCAAAACCACCAGTGAACCTACACGAGTCTTCTGAGTTTATATGGAATGTTGATGATGGAAAATAGTGAATTTTCTTGAGGGACTATTTTGCCTCACAACACCCTGCATTTAAGCCTCCGCCATGAATAGATTTAAATATATTTTAAACCACAAAACTATCGTAAAACAGTGTCTCAGTCATCAGGCAGTGATTTAATAACCATTTCATGTAGTAACTTTCTGTGAGGGAGCTTTTAGAGGTGGACGTCTGGTTCCTATCACCACCACTGTGAACAGTTCTGACTCGGTAAGTTTCTCTAGAACTGAGCGTTTCACACCAAACCACTCTGAACGAACTTTGTGCAGGTATTTTGAAAAAGTCGGCGGAGTTCCCCTTTAACAGTGTGGTCTTTACTATTGAACGGCTCTCAGTTCAGCGAGTGAGTCTGATCTCTAATACTTCTGTTCACCAGCCTCGAAAGAACAAACACATAACAGAAAAAACCGCAGTCAGCATATGTCAGCATGTACAAAGACGCGGTATCTTTGGATTTTAGGAGGTTGAAAAATGTTACTGATATTTTATCTGAATCCCGTATCACGTCGCGTAGGTTAAAACATCGTTGATTGACATGAATCATTAAATTTATAATAGACATCAATAAAACACTGCAGCAAAACAATCGGAAATAACACAATGGGAAATAATATAAAATAAATAAACAAACGATATGCGCGTGTGGGGGGGGGTGTATTAACAAGAAAAAAAGATTCGATTGAATCGGTTCGAAAGATTCATTGAAAAGAGTCGATTCAAAAGAACAAATCATTCACAAGTCAGCGGACGGTTAATACTGACTGACCTTCTCCAGCTTCGTTTTCCTCCCTTCATATCTAACTTATTGGTCGAGGCTTAAAATTTAGGATGCTGCTGTGTAGTAAAAACATTCAGGCCCATTTGTTCCTAAACCGACAGCTCACTGTGCTTTTAGAAACCACTCAGGAACTTGAATTCAAAGGTGCAAAGGAGAAATGCTTCTAAAGCTATATAGGTGTTTTGCTTTTAAATCATCATATAACCCTGCAAGCATACATTAATACAGTAAATATAACGAATTTCTTGTTTGCCAAAAAGTAGTCGTGTTAGCACACCCCAACCCCGTTAGTAGTTAGTGAACATTTCTTGCCTGTTCTAGATTAAACACAGACATTTGAAGCTTGTAGAGGTCATTTTATGTTTTATCTGAAGCGTGTCCCATACAGAAATTCAATATATGGCCACATACGCACATATAAAGGGTCAGGCACATATTTCAAAATATATGTATGTTATTTATTGTCGCTGTTCAATGAACAACATGTATCTCCATTTTTTGCAATTTTTACTTTTCTGCATCATTTGAGCTCAGCAGCCGTCCTTTACATTGTGTGAAAATTTCATGATGATTGGACCAATAGAACTGGTCCAAAATCGCTTAGAATAAAAACGTTTTCTCATATCTCCAAAATGGTAACTTTACAGGAGAAGGAAAAAACCTACTTTACTTTTAATGTAAGTCAATGGAACCAGACTTTTGTTTAAGTAATTTTGGGCCGTTTCTTTTAGTTCATTCATCATGAAATTTACAAACAATGTAAAGGGCAATAGGCATTTTCAAATCATGTCAAAATCTGAAAAATGACAAAAATGGAGATACAAGGTTTTCTTCCAACAACAGCGATATATAAATATCAAATATCAGATATATATGCACAACATATGGATTATATCTGTGTCTGATAGGCGGGTGAACACATATCGCTGCTGTCAGATAAAAAACCTAGTATCTCTATTTTTGTCGTTTTTCAGTTTTTGACATGATTTGAAAACACATGTTGCTCTTTACAGTAAAAATTCTGGTTCCATATATATATATATATATATATATATATATATATATATGTATATAGATATATATATATATATATACTGTCTGTCTGATACAAACACTGCTCAAAATGAAACATGCATACAATAAAAAAAAATTATACATACATGTATGATTGTATATGTTGATATATGGTTCAAATATATGTTCCACATTTAAAAATGGCCAAGAAACACCTGCTTTACAGATCATGGTTGTAAAATTGTAATCGGTGAAATAATAGTGGATTTCTATAAGTTCTCAGTTTTAAGTTTAAAACAGGCCCTGAATGTGAAACTGAATTGTCTGTCATATCTACAACTTTATCAAGCACTAATAATGACGTGTTTTGGCTTGAAATGATTCATGCGTCTGCTAGTTACCTGTCTGGTTTCCAGACGTAGATTAGCTGTCAGGTGACGCAATGGCAGCACTGCCTCCTGCAATCCAAACAATCACACCTCATATATTCGGCCTTCAGTGTGAGGTGGCAGCCTGTAAAGTGTAACTCGTCTGGCAGTGAGAACCACTTTTCTCGAGAGCAGTATTGGGGTTTCTTTTTGTTTATATGTTAGTTTTCAAGAAAAAAAAACAGATCTCTGGGGTCGTGCGTCACTCAGTAGTCGGCAACCTGCCCAAATAAGGGCTGTAGGCCTGAGCTGTTTTTCTCTATGGGGGAAAAAATATCACCACTGCCACACCTGTCTACCTTCGCCCCCATCACTGGATCACCTGAATTACACAGTAATCAGTTGAAACATGACTAGAAGAGTCTTTCAGAAGTGACAAACTCCACCACTAAAAGGGCCAAATTAAAAAATCTCAGAACATCCGTGGGCCAGAGAACGCCTACACACTTAAAAATATGGTTCTTCAAGGGTTCTTTCATAAATACAAATGGTTCTGTATAGAACCATGAACACTCAAAGAACCCTTTGCATGATTAATGTTTCTTTGCATGGTGAAATGTTTTTTCAGATTGATGGAGAATGTGCTGTAGATGGTTCTATATAGAACCTGTTTGAAAAGGGTTCTCTATATGACCAAAAAGGGCTTGACACTGTAAGAGCAGAACCCTTTTGGAACCATATACAACACATTCTCCATAAATCTGAGGAACCAATTAACCATCTATCTATATGGACACCCAGAGTCGACTTGACAGCACTTAATAACATAATAACTGTATGAATTATAATTGTTCAACAACAAAAATAATAATATCAACACATTAAAAGGCTTATAGTCCTCTTTAAGACTTAAAGAGTCTTAACTACACTTTTAACTACACTTTAACTTTCTTGGTCTTCCGATGGAAAAACAGCTATTCCGTTGTTTTCGCCATGAGGGAAAATTCTGGCATCAAGAGTTCTGTTTCCCAGCTTTTGGTTTTAAAGGCCAGCTTTCGAATTCTAGAGTTCTTTCAATTTGCTATACGATTTAAATTAAAGGTGTTGTCACAAAGCAGCTTTACAGAAAAATCCGGGTCCGAGCCCCAACAAACGTCGCCAATGGCAACAGTGACAAGGAAAAACTCCCTAAGAGCAAGAGGAAGGAACACTGAGAGGAACCAAGACTCAAAAGGGGAATCCATCCTCCTCTGGTCCACACAGGATAGCAAACAGCATAAATATAAAATATTAGAATACAAAAACGGGGAAAAACAGGTGGAGCAATGGTTAATTGGTTAATTAGGTATTAGAACACAATAATATACAACTAGAATACAAAATAAAGTATAAGCTCTTGTTTTCATTATATTCAGTATCTATCTATTGATAAACAGGGTGTCCCAAAAACTGACATCATTTGAGATGTGAATATCTGAGTAACTACATGTCCAGGCAAACGAAATTAAATAGGCTTCATGTTGAACAATACAAGATATATTTATCAAAATTCGAACAAGAAATTCAGAGGGATGTAGATTTTATAACCGATTTCACAACTTCACAAACATAATATCTTCCGATACTGGTGGTCGTCCAGATCCCTTCGCCCTGCACAGACAGCCTTCCTCCAGCTTTCCAGTTGGTGCATTTTTATTGAATTTTCTCGAAAATGCCGCTGCGCGCTCTCGTTTGACTGTGTTCTTCAACCTGAAAAAAAAAACATTAAAAATTAAACTTCGTTAAAATTTGAGATCATCTGAGGGAGAATTGGCCATGTTATTAGACTATGAAATGATGTCAACTTTTTTGGGACACCCTGTGTATATCTACATCTATCCATCTATCTATCTATCTATCTATCTATATATATATATATACATATATATATATATATATATATATATATATATATTTATATATATATTCAATTCACATGATTTTTTTTTACTGCCATATATTACTGTGTCCTCAAATCCAGAAAGGACACAGTAATATATGGCAGGGTGGGGTGGGGGGGATGCATACAGGGCAAAATGGATCAGCTTTGGAACCCATTGCTTAACACCACTCCTATTTCCCATAGAGTAAAATGGCTCACACATACAAGTTATAGGATTTTATTCCAAGCAACTTCTGTTGTTCCATTTAACACAAAATGTTCACATAGTGTACAACGCTTTCTTTTTGTGCAAAAAGAAAAAATATATAGTTACAATGTTCTGATGTTGCTTTCTGAAACTAGCAGCACTGTTTTCACATGAGCTCCCATTCAGTTTCACGTAGGAGATGAATTACAGGATCTCTGATGACAAACACTATTAGGCCATTTACTACTGACACACACCAGAGATAATGTTAGCTATAGAAGAGAATGGGCTGACATGTACAGACACATCCCAGCATTCCCTTTTTCCACTTTAAATTCGCCCCTTAAACCCTCACATATGATCTCCTCTGGAGCCTAGTTTAGCCTGTCAA